ACTCCCTTTACCGCCCCCCCCCCCTTTCATGCCTGTTTCATTATATTTTTAAATTACTTTGTTACCATGTTACCGCCCTATATAAACATTGCGTTTTCTGCAGCACGTAACGAAATAGTCATGGACAGAAATCGTGCAATATACCTATATGGTCTTTCCTGTTGATTTTTCGAAGTTCATTTCCACTTCAAATTCAGCGATACTCGATTCAACTGCACTGATTTGCAGTCGCCGGAGTAACCATTACTAGTGAAGATGAATAGCATACTGAGGTTAAGTCAAAATAATTCCGAGGAAAGGGAGCATTACGCTCATTCAAATGAGAAAAGTTACATTATCTCGGCGTTGATGCACAAAGATAGAGAAAACATTTTAAAATGACGATGAAAAAGAAGATAAACCGAGTCAAGAAAAATGACACTACCCGCAAAACTACCGGAGGTTTCGTTTCAGTCTATTGGGCGATCTGTTCCCGTCAGCCGATAAAAGGTGAAAATAAGACACTAATGTATTAGGAAAAGTGGCAGTAGGCAAAAGTGGAAATTCATTGCAAATGACAAAAGGCGATAAGAAATGAGAAAACGTCGAGCACAGAGGATGTGAAGCGCCAACCGAAACTGATTCATACTGACGAATACAAGTTACTCGGTGAAAATTGACGGTGAAGTTCATTGCCACTGCATGCGGAACATTTCATTATTAGAATATGCTTTTTTAAAAAGAATGTCTAGTCAAAATAAAACCAAAACAATTATCTCCCGAAATAAACTTGAACAAAGAATACAAGCGAGCACGATTTAATTCCGGGATCATTTCGCTGGTGCTTACTGCAGAATACAAAAGAGTTTATATATCACATGGCATGACAATCGAACATGTTATTAGTTCATTATTCTGCTTCACGTGGTTACCAGGGCAATGTTAGATTGATGTAGACCTCCCTTAGTTGATAAAGCAGGAGCTTTCGGCGCTTGGTTGCTATGGCCTCTGCAAAGCTTATCAGCTGTCCATTCGAGGTTGTGTAAAAAACCCGAAAAGAAGTCCCGTGTTCGGCTTGGTAGCTAGTATGCAGCAGATGGCGAGCGATTGATGCTCGCCTGCAATGTTTTTCCTTGTTCAAAATAAAATCCTCGAACAACAGGCCCGGAAAGATAACAAGGCATCAGTAGTGGTCATTGAGTTTAAGTCGCAGTCAATGACATGCTTTGATCCTCGTGATCCTAGGTTCGAACCCCACCGCCGACAGCCAGTTTGTGTTAGGCAACTTCGTTCTCGCCAGGCTCAATATCAAGGCCCTATGTGGTTGTCCACCCCAAGTCCCAGATCCTAGTTTGTCGGTTTCCATGAGTACACAACAAGCTCCCGTGACTATGGAGTCTATCCCGTCTGATGTTCATCAAATAAGGAGGTGTAATAAAAGTGCCAAAAAGCGAGAATATATGGATTGAAAAACTGTACTCAACTACACTATGATATCTAAGGCGTAGAATAGACAGCATTCTGACTTTATGGGATAAAATTAACTACACCAGTTGAATTGCTTTTATAGAGGCATTAGGAAAAGATATTGGGAGTGAATAATAACCCGGTGTATATAGCAGGATGGATGAAAGATATAAGTTCTACCCATTTTCAGGGAAGTTTACATGATCAGTTTAATCATCCAAAGGTTTGATATCCGACTAGACCGGGGGGGAGGGCACGCATCAACAGTCACCAGATCGTTAGCATCTTTAGATGAAAACTGATTGGATCAATAACGGATTTCGAATAAAAATAAAAAGAAGAGAGAATAGCAACAGCACTGCGCGATCCTCCTTAGTGTACATAAATAGTTCCATCGAAACGGGTTAACTGGAGTCGTTTGGTGAAGTAATCACCCATCCAACCAGATGGACTGAGCGGAAGGCTGGTGTGGTAATGACCATAAAATTAATATTTCCATCCATTGAACTAAGATGGCCTTTTTTCAGTCTCAAAATCAAACACGGATAAACTTATACTTTTGATCAAATGAATCAAACACCTATCAGTTTGCAATAGGCAAAACGGTTGCAGTCCGACTGTTGGATTATCTACAATGGGATAAGGGGGTCGTTGAACGAAAGTCAAAAATGATCCATAGATGGTGCACACGTTGGTCTCACTCCCGTACGGCTGTTCTTTTGGCCAGTCTTGAGAGACGGTAGAACGTACATTTAGGTCAGAAATAATCAAAATGCAGAATCAAAGTTCACTTCAAATGAAAAATTAAATGTGAAAAAAACATTTCAACAATGGCTGAATAAAAAAATCATTAATGGACGGCCAGCAGTTTGTAGTGCGAAAATTTCGGTAACTTTCATTCTAAACGGGATGTGAAATGGTTCATAGACATATCACGTGCATCAAAAAGCATACACGCACATGAAAAAAATGAAAACAGTACGAATGATAAACTGCAGTCACGTGTAACTACATCCAGGCTCGTGCACGACCGATAGCACTCAACCTTACAGCGTGGCAATGCTGTTAACGACTGCCGGATCGAGACAAATGCGCGGGCATTGTTTTTTTTTGACTGGACCTGAGCTGTACAGCTTACCTCATGCTGCCGGAAAAATTCAGACGCGTTCAACACATCCCGCAATCGCATGAGCTCCGACAAGTAGCGCTCCTGATCAGAGAGAGAGAGAGAAATTATCAGATAAAACGGATCCCGAAGGAGTTAGACCATTCAGTCGGAAATCAGGAACGAATTATAATCAGAGTTTAAAAAAACTCGGTCACCTAGATGATAGGGGTAAGCCTACGTCGCGCTACGAACTGTGATACGCGGCTTGCCATCAACTGAATTCAAAACAGGCTGTCACATTTTTCGATGATTTGGGCAAATGAGCACGGTTAAAGGGGAACGCACACGGTTCGCGCACCCTTCAAAAGAGAGAATGTTGTGAAGTTAAGATTTGAAAATGCACAATTTACGTGACATCGTATCAACGTCTCTTCTCCGAGTACACGCATACGCATATGCGGACACATCGATGGACTGGTGAAATCGCAAAGTTGGAGTCAAATTTATACATGCAGACAAGATTTCGCTAGTAAGAAACAGTATGCAAAACAGATATCAATGAGAGGGAAGTCGTATTTGTATGGTAAAGGGAAAGTCAATTATAGCGCGCAGTGCTTTTCCAAATGATTGTGGGATTTAGCAACACAAGCAGAAGGACATGACCATGGCTGATACGGAGCACAGTTTGCTTCTTTTACTTTGCTAAATAGACAACTTTCAGGAAGGAGAAGTTCTCGCTCAAGGGACTACCATTAGGTACAACGAAATGGAAAGGTTTGTCGATTGTTGTGATCAGAAACGAACACAACCTCAGAGGCAATTTGATGATGACCTACACTGATTTGCCGAAGCCGACTACACCTCGGAATACGTCGCCGTGCATCCTTGGCCGTATACTCAGTAAATCTGAGCTCACCTTACTCAATTTCGTAGCCGTTCCGTTATTTGCAACCCAATAAAGTGTTAGGTAACACGGCGATCTATGACATTTGGATCAGCTGACATATTCGACATAGAGTGAACAAGGCTTTGAGGATCAGTTCGTGTTGTTTTCAATTAGGCACTATTTTGAGGAATGAAAAATGAAGAAATAATGATGCTTAATTCGACGATGAAAATCCAAGGCACTAGAATTTCAGAGATATTCAAAACGAAATGCTGGGATTGACCTGTTTGATGACAGGTATTAGATACAGCCCTTGGTTTGCTATGAACACAGTGATTGGGAAATTAAATGAGCTAACATGAGCACTATATTCCAAATAATGTCGTTCACTCAAGGTATTGGCCATCGACTGAAGGGTAAGGTTTTCGACTTTCAAAACGAAATTTTGTGGTTCAGGTCATGATAGCGACAATGAAATAGAACGCGCCACTGATGAGTGTCAACAAGGATGAAACAACTATTTTGTGCAGTAATGGTCACCTTTCGGTATCGTATAGCAGCACCGGCCATACTGCTGCAGCAGCTACTGGTTCCAGGTGTTTTGCTTTATGGTTGCAAGATGCGAATGCTAATAGACTTTCTGTATTCAACCACTGATACCTTTAAAGCATTGCTCGTGTTTGGTGGGAGCATCTTGTGCTTAATGCTGAGACAGTGTGTGAAATGTATAACCTTCCAAGAACCATAGAAACCTTTAGGTTTGTTTATCCTCTGCAAGGATCCACCCGAAGAAAAGAAAAGGAAGGGATATTTATATACGTCTGACACCTTATCGATTGCATCCATCACACCATACATTATCTATCCATCTCTTTGAACACCGATTTGTGAAAAAAACACGGTTGAATAAGTACATATATGAACGAGTATGGAAGAAAAACAAGCAACTACTCACCACTACCAAGCGATCGGAACGGACAAAATCCATGAACAAATGTTTGATCTGTGTCCAAGAGCGACACTGTTTGAAGCGTCGTTGTGCCAGATCGTCCGACTTCTTCCGGGAGTAGTATGGAATTTGGGAAAAAGAAAACGAGATAAACGTCTTTGATTTATTCGTAATAGTTGTATGATTTTCTAAACATGTTTTAATCACTACTGTGAACTTTTCTAGCCACTAACTTCTCTATCAGCTAGTATGGGAAAACGTGGTGTGAGGATGAGTGAAGTTGTGTAAGGGCAGCATACTATCAGAACTCTCAAATCGAAAAAGAGCAATCTTCACATTTCGAGATTAAGTTTGAATGGTTGCCAGTTATCTATAACCGTACGTATCAACAGCGGGAGTTGCGAACCCATGAGTATCAGTAACCAAAATGCTAACGATTATATTGATGCTGAGTTCCAAATATCCTTTTGATTTCGAATCGAGAGGAAATCTATCTGGTGGCAAGCGTAACACATGTCATTGCCACCACATTCTATGAATATGAAGCATTTGCGCTGGTATATGACGGGGACTACCTCAAACTGCGTCTAATCTAGGCACTACTTGTCCGGTTGTTTCACCAGACTAATGCAAATACCGCGTAGACAACGGTGCTTGGATACTGATAGTCTGCGTTTATCTTCTACACTCCGCTGTTATGTCCTTGTACCACACGGTAGAAACAGTGTCACTGCTGTAGGGCACTCTACCTATGACTGCCAGCCAGATGTCCCGGAGGCACCACGGGTGTCTTAATTTGGCAAATACCATACGAGCCTCCTGAATGAGTGGCAATACACCATTCAAGATTCGTTTGCCAGGACAGACGTAGTTGCATACGTCACAAATTCCGCCAGTTTTCCTTACTTCTCCTTCATTCAGAGTGAGACTAGGAGGTGGGCCAAACGAAGTCCGCAACATCATTTCACGCTTTCAGGGAGAGAAACAAACGCTGAAGATAGCTGCACTAACCCTCAAACCATCCAGAAAAGCCTACAACTTCACCCGGCAGTAAAACATCATCAAGTTAGACAAATCACTGCCTAAGAGCAAACTGATGATACTATCCTTGCAAGAACAAAAATTAATTTAACAAATCCCATGATGTAGTTTAAAAGCAAACGAGGAAACCCCTGATAAACACCGCTGTTGGTCGTGAAGCCCGGTAAAAAAAGCCGTGAACTGGAGCACAGTTCTCATTGTCCATCTGCAGTGAAAACACGAGAGAAATAAAGTCCACTGACGCACCCTTCAAGGGGAATAGTACCACTGTACATTGCAATCGACCGAACTGAAAACCGTATTTAGATCAACGAACGTACACGTAGTGGATCTATGGAACGAACGTCTCTCGTGAGTTGCAAACAATCAAAGGGACAACGTGTTAGCAGATGGAACAACTACACCCATACGAAAGTAAAACCAACATAAGATGGGTTCATCGAATAGGACACAGTGGAAACGCATAGCGTTGTCCGACAAAGGGAATGTTCGTTTAAGCCAAGTAAAACCAGTGGTGTGTGCGCTTTGAGCTCACACAGATTAATCATCCAGTTCACAAGGGAAGTTGTATGATGGCTAACCTAATATTAATGCTCTCATTTTAACAACTGTGCCACAATAAAAAACAATCAAAAAAGTAGGCGACAGTAGATGCGGTACAGCTCATTAGGAATGATTCAGGTGCATATTGATAAAGAATAACTGCAAGAACGTTACTATTTACAGTTTTGGGCAATCGTGGTCACCTACTGGGGCAAGTGGTCGACCTCCATAGACTACGTTGGTTGGGGCATGTGTCACGCATGTCACCAAATAGATTTCCACGTGGTGTGATGTTTACCGAGGTACGTAGTGTATGGGAAAAAGTCAAGGGCAGTTAAACTTAGATCTAGTATGAGGATAAAAAGGCCCTAACCGGGAGATTCAGTCATATAGGTCGCGCTAGGCTTACTGGATGGGGACCTCGGGATAACTATAAACCACAATTAGAGAAATTGATATGGCTCGACGTCGAAAACAGTAGGGCTCGTGCATTTTCTATCTCTTCTCAACCCTAGTCTACCAGAATTCCCTACTTTCTCTTTGCCACTGCCCTCAATATTCAGACTTTCTCTTTGTGCGTTCGTCAAAATGAGCAGCCAAGGGACAGCACTCAAAACCGCCCCATGAGATTGAACGTTCTTTACACAACACGAAAAACTCTACTCCGTCAATCCGAAAAGCGATTCTTGCCACTGTTCGCCAAAACACACGGTAAACCAATTCAATTATAATGCGGAGAACAGATAAGCAGATCCTCTGGGATTGAGAGAGTCACGTGATTTAAAGGTTTGCCTTAGATATGAATTGTCAATCTCACTCATGTGCATCGTTGGCCACCATAAGAACGAGAAACACTGGGCCAGCATCAACAGTCACCCAAGAACACCGCACACACAAAAGCAATAGGTCATCTATCGTATGACATTTACCGATGACAAATTATAAACCGGATCTGAAAAACAGATCTATATATGGAGTTTCAAACATATAGGTCCACTGATAAATTTTTGCATAGATAAGTCAGAGGGCAAATTGCGAAATTTTCGGGAAATCATCATTCAGAGCAGATTTTTTCCGGCTCCAGTTTTACGCAATCAACAAGTCTGCGGACCGAGTTCGATGTGAAGATAGATAACTTACTCAGACACAACTGACAACTCGTTAGAGGTGAATGAATGATGATAATGTGTACATATCATCTCAACTTGAATAGAGCAGTGTCAATTTGTGATGATGTCAGACAACGAATGTTGGAATTGTTGAACACGAACTTTTTATGTGAAAGAGCTCTTTGGGTAGACGTCATATTGGAATCATTTCCTTGAGAAAAAACAATGTGACGTACTAGCCAGTTGATGAGCCACCGAAAGAAAGTTTGTTCGCTAAACTGCATTTTTCAAACAACAGTGTAGTGCACTCAATAGGGGATTTGACTTCGGTTCAATAGGGGACTGGATGACTACTCTCTCTCTCTCCCTCTCTCTCTCTCTGATGTTCTCGATCCTTTTCAGTTTGCTTGCAAACATTCACTTTGTCTCCGAAAGCCTCAGTATGATAGGGCATGAGTGTCTTGGGTTATGGCTGATCATCGTTCTCTTGCACTTCGCGAAATGCTTCTGCACGACCAAGCGGCTCAAATAACCTCTGTTGAGGAAGCTCTACGCACTGCCTTCGTGTGGCAGAGGTCTTCTCCCACCAAAGTAAGAGGACGGAAAAGCCAACAGCCGGGGCCATAACCCAGTTGATGAGCCACTGGCAGTTAACCAAGGAGAGATGGCCCAAAACCACGAATCGAAATAGACGAAGAAGAGGCGTACGAAACCACACACCTTCCTGTTTAGGTCAGTGGTCACCGGCTCAATTGGGTATCGAAGTGTATTTGGCACCTTGGACGTTTAACCCCGTTAAAAGGGCGTATGATCCGATGGACCGGACACCAGCCTCTAATGGTGTGCGGTTTTCCCACACAGCCCCTCTGCCTTGCGGGTCAGACTTTTGTTAGCCGAAGGCTCTGATTATGAACCTCACAGGGAAAATCATCTGTTCTGGCGTGGGCAACCTGGTAGTATTCCGCCCACAAACAAATCATGGACTTTTTATTTTTACAAAGATTATTATATCGTGATTTGTTTGGCCTCAGATGTGTGTGAAATACATACAATAGTTGATTCAGCGATTTTACCAATTCAGGTAGGAGTCTTCTCTTCAAACAAAATGTTTGAACTATTTGTCTTCTGACTTACCTGTTCAGATTTCTACACGTGCAAACAAAAACAGGTCGGTAACTCTGTGATTGCCCTGGCAATGCTATCGCATCTGTGCGTAACTGATGAAATTTCAAATAGCAGACTATTGACTACCGCACTGTACCAGACAGGTCGAGTCCAGAAATTGTTCTATAACATCTTGGGGTGCATATTTGGCAACCAACAAGTGCAGATGCAGCAAACTCGGCCTAGGATTGTTACTCTCTCTCCAAGATTCTCTAGAGAAATGAACATTTCAATGCGACTTAGTCCAATAGCTGAGGTCGTTTTGCCGATGCATCAAGCTAAGGACTGGTCGCTTTCCTACGCCCAGCCACCGAAGAAATCTCCAGTCACAACCGTTATCAGAGAAAACTGGGCATCTCGAGGATCTCCCCGAGGACACCTACAGTCAACGAAAATTGAACAGGACGTTTACTACATATCCGCTGTGGATTTTGATTACATCAGATCATGAAAAGTTAGTTGTTACGGCGATAAACCAGGCAGTTCAAACATACCAAGTCCGGAAACCGAGCCGTGAATTTTATAACTAGCTTATACAAAACTTGAACTTGTACGCAAGTTTGCAAAAACCATAAGGGTCCAGAAGAACGCGCAACGGTAGGGTAATCTGAAAGTAGCCATCAATTATGATATTCATAATGCGACAGAGGAGATTTGCGTCATGCGCGTTCTGTAACTTTGGTCACCGCAGTCTTCGAGTTTTCTCGTTGGCCATGCATTGATAGGGTTGCACACGACGGTTGTTATCATTCATAGTGCTGGTTTTTATGCTTTAATACGACTTTTTTATTACATACTTCCGTGTGATGAACAGCAGACGGGGTAAATCCCATAGTCATGAGGACCTACTGTTCAGTGGTGGAAACCGGTAACCGAAGCCCCGGGACTTGGACTAATAAACCACATAAGGCCCCGATAGGTTAGGTGTGGTACTGAGCCGGACGACAGCAAGGCTGTCTACCACCAAAATTGGGTGGCGGTGGTGGGGCTCGAACCTCGAACCACAGGGTCCAAAGCACGCCGGTGACAGCGAATAAACCACTGCGTCACCACCACCACTTGTCGTACCGTATAAGATGGTCATCATAAGGCATAAAATAAAAGTGTGCTGCTTATTCAAAGAAACACTGGGAATTAAACAGACATTTACTTTCGAGTTGGTTGTTCTGATGCACTCTCCATACACCCTGAGATTTGAGAACGGTAGAAATCAGTTAATTTTACTGATTTTGCATACGTAATAGATCACTC